CTAACGGATCAATGCATAAGTATCCATGCTGCTGGATCTTTCTTGAGAAGTAGGTACTTGCTCAGTCAAATTCCCTGCCGTTTATGGAACCTGATGGTTTAAACAACCCATATCTGCGGCCTTTTGTCCTTCCCCCAAACACACACAATTGGTGTAAGTTACATATACACGCACATATCTTGCAAGAGATACTGGCAATTCAAATTCGGCAGCAAAAGTGGTAAAACTGCTTGATCCGCAGCCATAGAAAATAATATATAAAATTACCCATAATGAACTTCTGTTGCTCTTATAGAGCAGTTCTAGACCCATAATGGGATTATGTGGTACAACCGAGGTAAATAAATCTTCCATAATATGTGTAACAGAAAGTTGAACTGAGGGCAGAGGCAGGGAAATGAAAGAAACTACTGGCAATCATTAATTGCTCATAACACACACTAAAAGAATATTCACCCTTTGCACAGCATGACGTGATAAAACTGGGTCTGCATATGTGTATTAAAACTGTCACTTCCATAGAAAACATCCGCTTAATATTAATAGCTTAGTACAGCATTTCTGACAATAGATGGCATCAAATGTGACACATGAATGTTTAAAGAATAGTCATTCAAATTATCTATACCCGAGGTCTTCTGAAGACAATTTGAGAAGTACTGTGGGTTTTTCTGTGTAACTGCATTTCCAGTAGGTAGTTAAATGGTGGGGCTTGGAGTTAAGAGAATAATGCAAGAATTTAAAAGTGGTACTCACTAATCAATCATTTAGATTGGTTCAGTGTCTACTCTTATCAAATTGTAATTTCTCACTTTCTGACATGTCTGTGCCCTTTGTAACTCACTGCCTCACAATCTTTCCTAATAGAACTCTCCATATTTATAACAAATCACTCAGCTTCACAATCATCCCCACTTCCTTCAGCCTCCAAGTAACATTCAATGTTTTTTGCATGGCAACATCTTAACACCTACCTGTCACAAGTTACTGAACTTAAATGACACATACTGTGACCCAACCCAGTTTGTCACCATGCCTCACATTATACTTATCGGGTCATGTTCTGGAAGATAAGGTTGGAACTGTAGAACACAAAGAAGACAATGTTCTTCAATGATTGAATCTATCCTGTAAGCTTTAAATTAGGTTCACTGATACTACAGTCCCAACCAGAATAGATACGAACAAAATACGAATGCAGGAGATATCCCAATCACTAAACCATTCATGTGTATCTTCTTCCACTGGATTTGATATGAGACTAATCGGCACATTATGGTACAATGCATTAAAAAATACTATGGAAAATTTGGTATAGTGTATCCTGCAGCCACAGCAGAAGGCTGTCACTCTTCATTTCAGTACGATAATCATTTGTCCATTCACTGGGTTTGAATACCAGTAAGCAATTTGAAAAAAGAAAACCTGATTCCCTACTGGCATGTATCATCATTAACAACACAACAGCAGACCTCCGAGCTTGTCCCCGTGCTATAATACGAGGGCACCAAGCACGTTATGTGGGAGCTGTATATGCTCCAGCACCATACAAAATTTATCTCACTTCTTCCCTGTGCTTCTTTATTCTCCTGAAGAAACACAGTCTTTTGTTATCTTGTATCCTGTTTCTCAGTTATTATAGTCTTACTGTCTTTTGGATTTTTCCACTGAAAGTTTTGGTAATATTTTGCATGAGCCCATTCGAACCACTTCCAGTGAAGCCAAAATGCCTTAGTAATTCCAAGCATAATCTTTTTAAAGTATCCCTTCAGTCAATGCAAAGTTTTGCAGTTTGGTAAATACACCTTCACAAAAATATCCTGTGTTTTGGATGACAGCTTGTTCATCTTTCCTGGAGAGAAAATCATGTGCCTGGATCTTCATAGAATTCTTTACTATTTTGCCTTTCTGCAAATAATACTTCCCACTGTTTTTTTCTGAAACTTTAGGGGCACCTTTGTTCTTACCCCAAATGTCCTTAATTGTATACAGAGGCTGAGTTCTGCATTGTTTATGAAAGTCTGCACATTCTAGGTAATCTTTCTTGAATGACTGTGCAATGTTTTAAAACTGAGCTTTCTTAGAACAGGAACAGTTTAGTCAAAAGTAATGTGTACAGTGTTCATATATCTGTGTCACTGAAAGCTATGACCACAGTGCTTATAGAAGTCTGTAATAAAGCAAGGAGCTTTGTCCTTTGCAAACAAGAGAGCAACATAGCAACCATGTATGCCACATACACTGACTCCAGTCTCCCTATTGACACAAATCCATGCATTCCTTCAGCGCAGTGCTATGATATCGGCACAGCACAAGGGATTTCCCGGTAATCTGCACTGCTATGTAACGTTAACAGAACAATGGCTAAGACCGGACTGCCTATGCAGCAACTATGGCGATGTCATGAGTCAGGGAGAGGAAATAATGTGGACTGTTAAGCCATCGTGTTCTGCTTCATGGCAAATCTATTTAGCACGTGAAACAGAACTCAGCAGTTTGTAGGCTCTGGCTGACAGTAAAAAAAGTTAAGGTATCCCTGCAACAGGCTGTGGAGGCCCACAGGGTTGTGAGAAGTTGAGGCTCTCACATTTTCTAACGATCGGCTCATAGATGACGGCAAGGTTGTCAGCCCTACGTGCCAGCCGCCCTTACCCCCAAGAATATTCCTGGTACTCATTTCTGTTAGAGGTTGAGTCAACCCCAGGGCCATAGTGTGGCTGGAAGGATTAGGTAAATTGAAAAAATCCTTGACCTCATTAGGATTTGAAACCACTACCTTCGGGCTCGTAGCAGAGAGCTTCAACCAACTACACTACCGCATGCCCCTAGGCTTTGGCTGAGAGACAAAAACAAGTGTAAATACATATATCTCATACCTAAAATCCCCACATTCTGTAATTCCAGAACTGTGTTGTATGATTTACATCACAGTAGCAACGATCATCAAATTTCATCCAAGATTGCCTCGAATGTAAAAAGTAACATCTAATTTGCTATGAGTGAATTCTAAGCATTGTAATTGTTCAAAGTTTCAATGCAAAATCATAACACTCTGCCAATGCTACTGTTTCAATAAACAGTATATCAAAAGAACACTCTCAACAATCTTACAATATAGCAACAGTTTTAAAAATCTAAGAAGTGCCTGAAAAGGATCACAGAAATAAACAGTTTTAATATTTCAAAATTATATTAATAAAATAATCAGTACTCACACAAAAGTGTTCCACTTCATGGATCCTTAAATCATTCCTTACTAATACACCACCAACAAGTTTTTCTGATGACAATAGTTTGTTGATTATGTGGAGGTCAATGTTTACTGCCTGCACACTCTTCCCTCTTTACACACACACTTCACACTGCCCCCGCCCTGTTGCCCTAGTCGCTATTACAGCAACTGTTGCAGAATAAAAAAAGTCCCATTTGTGCACAATTCTGTATAAATCATGAACTAAGTGAAATTGCATTCCTGCCACTGAAGTTAAATAAATAAATTATTCTGGCACTGATACATGAAACAAACTTTTGCTACACTGAATGTGACATGGCTGCATGACTGGAGGCTGCAGAATGAATAGTTCTGGGAGATGACAAAATATTATGATTAATTCAGTTTCCTAATTCTGATGCGAATGCTAACAAACCATACTTTCAGATTGGGGTATAAATAAAAGATTTTAACATCTCAGAATTAAAAAGTTAAGGTGCCTAACATTTCACTGATAATATAACCTGCTAAATGAGGCACTACATGGAAGAAACATTCTTTGAAATTGTCCAGCATAACTAAAAAAAAAAAAAGGTTTGATTCCGCACACATCCTCCCCAATCCAATTTGCCAGCAGAATGCTCACATATGCTTTCCCCTCTTTTTACATAGTTTTATCAACTTCTGCATATGATGACCATCAGATGGGTACAGCCACAATAAAAACAGGCAAACACAATTTTCAGAATTTCAAGCATGGTAAGAATGTGGCGCTCTTCACTCAAACTATGCTTTCTGAAGGGCCAAAGAACAATTTCATGAAGTATCCTCAATTATCAAAAGTTACTCAGTAGATTGATTTCATCGGGGTATCTTCAATCACATGTTATGTGCTTCTGAAGTATTCATACAAATATGTCGTGACTGAAGTAAACAGTTTCAACAAGCCTACTCAGTACTTCCAACAACTTTCCCACCATATTACATTCTCTACACAGAAAGGGCTGTAACATTAATGTATGTTCAGTGGCAATGATGACAACTGCTCCAATTTTTTTGCTTAATCACTGTGTGTACACTCCAGCCAAAATAGATCGGTTATCAATTTCCTTTCATCGACAGAAAAAAAAAAAGGACTCTTCATACATGGCATATCGCTATTATACTAAATTAGGTGGGGTCACAGAGTTCACAGAAGCAAAAGTTGTGACATTTTGTCTCTTCTTCTTCTCACAATCCATTCATCATGGCAATCCATATTTGAACTATAGATTACTTTGTGTAGAATCAGAAACAGTAGTGTCCAATTAAATTTCTATGTGGCAGTTGATTAATAGTGCAGATACAGTATAAGTGAGTACTGCAGGTGGAGATACTTGAAGGCTATTGGAAGGGAGAACAGGGAAGTTAAAACCTATTCTTCACATCTCAGAATTCTCCAACCTCAATGATGCAAATATAACTCCATGGCATTAAATTGCCACTCATGACTACAGTTCTACACTCAAGTAATGGGAGGTGGTTACAGTAAGGATGGCATATCATTTAAAGAATCCCGTAGTATGAAACTGTGGATAATATGTGTGGGAGGCAATATGCAGTGACTAGCTGTCCAAGATTTCGTGGCCACAAGAAAATTGAATCATACAGGTTAATCCCACAATATATGCTCAGAACACCTCAACAAAATTGAGAACTGAATTGCACATGGAGTGAAAATTTTAAATTTATTTTAATTTGATGGCCTTTGTCTTCCCTTGCAACATATACAAAAAAAAAAGGATCCTACCATGCCCTGGAGAAGTATATGATTGCTGCGGAAAAAACGACTGAAGTAAAGTTCAGATGGAACAAAGACGAGCTGATGTGACTTCACGAGCTGTCCGTGGTGGAAGCACAACATCCATAACCATACAGCTTCAAAGTATTATTTCCAGGGTCATCTGCAAAAATACAACACACATCAAAACCATTAAGAAACGTGTTTTTATATTTTCGTTACTTCCTCACTAAATTTTCAGGCTGCATACAGCCCACAGTTTTGGTGTCACGGTTAAAGTTTGCAGAATACAGAATCCACGTGCTTATGTGTTTAACATGATTTCTTATGATACATTTTACATACACCATTTTATACTGCAGGCGTAATGCACAATACTGCTTTCTTAGCCCTTGAAAACAGAACCACATACCCATTAAAAACATGCAGCTGTGTAATTCCGAAGGCATACGATATGACTTATACCAAATCTATTATTCCTTGACATTTATTTTACAGAGGGAGTTCACAATGTATTTTCATATTTACAACTGTCTACAAATACGGCAACTACACCCACCGACGGACCAATTATAATTGCTATGCTACGAGAAAATGGCGACTTTCGTGCCGTTCCGCTTTCAAATGATTAAACTACACGTTATAATCAATACCGCATTCCAATGCTTCACGATTCAAGTTGTTTCACAACACAAATTATGATATTTTGCATACAACACTACTTACCATGAACTCTTTTTGCGTGACAATATATTCCCTTCAAAGCACTGATGACAAGGCATTCCTCTACAAAACAGACACGACCGTCATGTGATTCGACTTCTGAATTCTGATTGGCTTTCAATGCCAGCTGTTTTAACTAGACTTCGAATAAACAAAACTCTGATGATAATTAAACGAAATTTGAGCTTGCTTTATAAAAACGGAATATAGTTGCGCTCTTTCCTCTGTATAAGTCAATAACCAAACATATATAGCGAACATTATTGTCTTGAAACATAATCACATGCCTCTTCATCCACCTTTCTATTACATACCAACATGCAGAACACACATTTTGAAAACAAACTTGCATAATTCTGACCCCCGTTAAGAATCCTGTACAATGTTGTACTAAAGAATATTAGCAGGAACCATACCTACCCTTTATTATTCCTCAGTTAAGTACCTTCCACCTCTACACCATACAATATTATCGCAAAATACCCCTTCAGGGAATTCTGTCACAGAGTATACACACAAGGAGTCTACCAAGCCTACATAAATCTTGCCTTGGCCACTTCGTGACCAGAGAATACATTCAAATCTGTAGATACGCACAATATTCATGTTATTCATCTCAGTCATGTGCAGTCAATGGAAATATTCGAAAGGGCAAGGGAACACCAAGGAAACTGATAATCGCAACGCAACTGCTGTTCCGAGAAATGTCGCCGATCTTCCATTGTAGAAGGTATGAGGGGTGAGCCATAAAATTGGCCCTAGCACTACGACCTTCAATGGTCTATTGTACTTCCACTTTGGATTAGCCCTTTATTAATCCTACACTTCGAATGAAATGTAGGACGTCATAAAAGTCTCTTGGTTCCATGAAGAATTGACCCAGGTGGTGATATTTTAAATAAGCTATAGCCTCAAAATCACATAAGATGTGTATTGCTGATTCATCTGCTTGTAGGCACCTCTCACAAGTTGGATCCTCTGTCAGTCCCAATTTGGAATGGTGTCATTTTAGGTGGCAGTGTCCAGTAAGTATTCCTACCACCCATCTGAGTTGATTTCTGTTTAATTTTAACATATCCCTCGTTCTTTTGACAGAGCCTCTTGATATAAATCCTTTTGCCTGTTTGAGTCCAGTTATGGAATCCCAGTTTTTTTTTTTGGTGATATCGATTAGTTCAGTCCCTGATTGCTTTCTTGTCAACTCCAATTGAGATGCCGCAAGCTGGTTCAGGTCCTATGAACGGCTGTTCAGATCCTTTTCTTGCCAGTTGATCTGAGGTTTCATTCCTTACAATACCCTCTTGACCTGGCAGTCATATCAGTCATACTCTGTTATGTCTGACCAGTTATATGAGGGATTGGTGGCAGTCCCAAACCAGTTATGAAGCGATTTGGTGTGTACCAAGTGCTTTAATTGCAGCTTGACTGTCTGATAGAATATAGATGTTCCTATTTCTATAGTTCCTATCTAAATTCTCAACTGCGCATGCCTTAATGGCATACACCTCTGCCTGAAATACTGTTGTGTACTGACCAAGGCTGAATGTATGCTTCAGCTTCATTCCATCACAATACACCCCAGCTCCAGTGCCCTTATTTGTCCAGGAACCATCTGTATACCAGATTAATACCCCTATTCTGTCAGGTTGAAACCCCTCTTTCCATTCACTTCTATCAAGAAATCTGATCGTGAAGGGTCTATCATAAACATGTTCATGTTTCAATAGCATTTTATTAGATCCCATCTGTAGGATGGGTTCTTTTTTCATGTCCTGGGTCATGTATGCATGTCCAAAACTTCGGATTTCGGTCTCCATTGATTATTGCAATGTAATCTGTAATTTCCTAACTTGGCCTCTGCTTCCATCTGCAAATGCTATGGAAGGAGTCCTGGTAGGATTTTCATTGCAGCTGTTGGAGCTGTTCTCATTGCTCCCGTTAATTCCCAAGCAGGCTGTCCTTTGCAGTTTGCTAAGTTCTACCTGACTTGTCTTGAGTTTAACTCTAGGCCACCATATAATGGCGGATTGTAGAAGGTATGTGTACGAAACAAAAAAAAAACAATAATGCATTACGTCGGACGAACATACCCAAGTAAGAGAGTGTGATCAACTAATCAAACATAAGTTTCCTCAGTATGCGCCTGCTAGTCTGGGAACCAGTTGCCTGCTTGAAATCGGCGGCTTTTCTCGGAAATTGAGGTCGCGTTGCGGTTGCCAATTTCATTGATGTGTCCTCTCCTAAATAATGCCAAGACGGAAGAAAGGGATACGGAGTTAGCTATGCTCCACGGAAGCTATGATAAACATAGACTAGACAGAGTCAGACCTTGTCCATAGTCAGTTATAATATCTCGCTATGCACGGTTTCCGCCACATATTGCCAGTCGAAAATCTACCAACCTTCGACGAAAATTGTCACTGTCATTTCTGTTCCGCTGAACGCAAGCGGTGCCATATCATACATTGCATTTAAGCAATGTCACTACTCACACTATGCAATGGCACTATGCAATGTCACTACTCACACTGTTAGTGTGATAGATGACACTGCTTGCAACTACTGATCCGTGATGGATTGCTAGCGAAAAGTAAAACATTGACCGTATATGCTTAAGAAAACTGATGTACGTTAGTAGCGTCTGTGTTCAGCACGTGTAGAAATGGCCGGTGTGTCTCAGAAACCGAAGTTGATTGTGTTTGATTTAGGTGGGAATGTATTTGTTTCTAACTAAGCACTCGTGCATTTCACATCCACTTAAAATAGAAATAGAAATATGTAATATAACTGTATAAAGAATGTACAGTATTTCGTATGGTAATGAGGGTATTCAGATACTTTGAGAACGTCGTGAACTATTTGAAAAGTACTGTTATTTTGTACTTTGTCGGTGGTATTGTGGAGAACTGGCATTAACATTGTTCATTATGTTTTAGATTATACTTTGTGGCCGTTTTGGGTTGACACACATGTGACACCGCCATTCAGGAAGGACAAGTAAGTAGCCATATTTTCGATGTTTGTGTAAAGTATATGCAGCAAGGTTTACCCATATCAGTAGTCGTAAGCATTATATGGAATACATCAGCTTCTCCAAGACAGAGCACAATGAGATCACAAATTATTCATCTGGGGGAATACAATGAATGTGAACGATATTATGATCTTGTGCAAAAGCAATAAAGATTGCTTAATTTGAGGGTGGGTTCCTGCATAAGTTATCTATTAAACTCTTAAGCTTGTATCACATCGCTCAAGCCACGCTCACGCTCTCGGGACACTCACGCTCATGTCACGCTCCAAGGTAGTCACACCATGACGCTCAGGAGTTTAGATGGAAGTGAACGAAATGAATTTTTCTGACGAAGAACTTCTATTGATTGCGGTATTGTTAGATGATGATGAAGCGAAACCTACAGGAAGAAGAAAATGGGTGCACCCTTCTTTGCTTTGTAGAGCAACGGAGGGGGAGTTTCATACACTATTTCCACAGTTACTGGATGATGAAACTAAATTCTTTCAGTACTTCAGGATGTCCAGGGAACAGTTCGAAATACTGCTTTCGAAAATTGGGAGTGACTTGAAGAAACAGGACACCACATTTCGCGCAGCTGTTTCACCAAGAGAGAAATTAGAAGTTTGTTTAAGGTAAGGAAAAATAATAGTTTCTTCTTTTTAAAATGTGTTTAATAATAAAAATGAAACATATACAATATCTACGCACTGGAAGAGTTCATAGCATTTTATTCAATATGATTCTGGAGAGAAATTAGAAAAAAAATTAGAGCAAGCAGAATTGGAGTCAGTAGAGGATGCCGGAGAAATGGGTGATGGTGGTTGGGAGCTCTGCGACATTTTCGGATTTCCGACATATGTGAATTCTGAACCAGCTGATGGACCTCCTAAGTTGGTGCTATGAAAATTACTTTGAGGGGAAGGAGGATGGGGCATTAAATATTTGGCTTCCATCTGAGATACGAGGTTGTAAATTTGATTCCTTATTAGGTGTTGGTCGACAGGAGAAAAAGTTTTAACCGTTTTGACCATAGATTCAAAAAACAGTTCCAAAGAGTCCTTTTCTTTATCTTTATCTGTAGTTTGCTGTCTGTTTTTGAGTAAATATTTCATCACAGTAGCAGATGCTGTTTCCTGAGGTCTGCTTGAACGGTTGCATTTCTTTTTAGGTGTGGAAATCGAAACCGACTTGGACAGTTCACGTTTTCTGTGGGAATCTGGAGGTGGAGATATCTGTTCCACTGATACTTCATATTCTGTATCATCTTGTTCATTTTCTTCGAGTTCATCCCCTCCTTTTTGCTCTTCTATGTCCAATGATGAAATTCTTTCTTTGTCTCTCATGTATGAAATCAAAAAAGACATGCTATCCTCAAATTTCCATTTACGAATATTAGCAGCTGCTTGGCCACTTACGGTGTTGTATTTCTGAACAACTTTTCGGTGTTGACTTCTTAAACTCATCCACCTGTGCTTACATTCTCCGCCTGTGAAAGGGAAGATAATTACAAAAGTGACATACGAGTATATAACCAAAAGTTAGACACAAAACACACTCACCCATACACACGAGTGAGCACCAACTAACTGGCAGTTGACCAAAATGGTCCTTGACACATCGTAAACGTTGCTTTTTATATTGTTAAAATATTAAATATAGGCTTATTTATAAACTAAAAACAATTAATTGTAAAGTAGCTGTTGAATTTATAATTAATTTTTAAATTATAAGAATAAATACGAATATAATATTAAATTTTACCAAATTTATGAATATAATAAATTTATAATATTGATTATCAGTACCTATATAATTTGTGAAGTTATAAATATAAAAATATTAATTCTCTAATATTTATATTTCAATAACTAAATAATATTAATGTATTAAAATATTGTCCTGTAATGTAAATAAATATAAAATATATATATTCTACAATGGGCTGTTGTTTTGTTCACAGGTTCCTAGCCACTGGGGACTCATTTCGAACCATAGCGTTCAGTTTTCGACTAGGGTATTGTACGGTTCAGAATGCAGTTCATGGAGTTTGCAAAGCTATTGTAAAAAATATGTTGCAGGAAGTAATGCCTACTCCAACAAAAAATGAGTGGGAGAGAATTGCAAGAGAATTTTGGGATCAGTGGCAGTTTCCCAATTGTTTAGGATCTTTGGATGGAAAACATGTTGTGATAGAGGCTCCTCAAAATTCTGGTTCCCTCTACTTCAATTACAAGAAAACATTTTCAATAGTTTTATTGGCACTTGTTGATGCTAATTACAAATTTATAGCAGTAGACATTGGGTCTTATGGACGGAGTAGTGATGGTGGAATATTTTCCACTTCAAAGCTTGGAAGGCGTTTAGAAATGGGAACTCTAGACATTCCAGAAGATGCACTGCTGCCGGGAACACAACAACTGGCTCCATACGTAATTGTTGGTGATCCGGCCTTTCCATTAAAAAAATACTTGATGAGGCCCTTCCCTGGTCTACAAGTCGAAAACCGTATCGAGAGACGCATTTTCAACTACAGGTTGTCTTGCGTCCGTAGGGTTGTTTAAAATGCCTTTGGAATTCTGACACAAAAGTTTAGAATTTACAACAGAAGACTGAAATTAGCACCTAAATATGCTGAAAAGGTGGTTTTAGCCACGTGCATTTTGCACAATTTCATTCGCGCAGGAACGGCTGCAACGCCTTTGAATGATGATCAGATAATGGCAGGTAATTTGACGGACTTATCGAGACAAGGTGGAAATTGTTCAACAATAGCTTTTGAAATAAGAGAGATATTCACAAGATTCTTTAATTCAGAACAAGGTTTCGTCCCTTGGCAACACAATATGATTTAAACAAGTGTATTTCTAACTGTATTTGTTTGATGCTAATAAAGTGATTATTGAAAGTTACCAGATTTTTTAACGCTGTTCCGATCTCTTCCCACACTTTCTTATGTACATTATCACTGTACAATTTGTGTGTTAAATCGTAAAGCTCAGGCTTGGCACGAACAAGTTCAATCAATTCTTCCTCCATGCTTTGACTGGTGAAATGAAAGAAAAATGAGAAGCAGAACCTTTGAGCTTGGGACTCGTGTGCAGTCTTGGTCACACTAGACGCTCAGCTCGCAGTACACTCAGAGTCGAACGCTCAAAATATTCTCGGCGATGATTGCGGCGCTCACTGTGAGTGCGCGTGAGCGTGGTGTGCACACCAGTATGATCAATCCTATAACATTTACATTGTTTGGATTTTAACCGTTGCGTGAGCGGAGCGTGAACATCCCTATAATGTGATACAACCTTTAGAATCCTCCATAAGTTGCAGTGCCCTATCCATCAGCATTTGCATGAAGTCCTACTCTTGTGATATGCATGTGACCTACTTGTAGTACCCTATTTATGAGCATGTGCATGAGGTCCTGCTCCTGATCTGTGCCGAGATGTTATTACCAGGACATTTGGAGCCCTGAGTTTAGTTGTGAGCAGTATTAGCCAGTTGGCAACGACATGAGCACAGAAGCTAAAGAATTTCCATTGTTGAGAGCTGTTACCAAGCAACAACTACAGAAGACTATAAGGGACTAAGGCTTAGCATGTGCTCTAGTGATTTGTAAAGTGTGTAGATTAGCAATAGTGCTATAATTGCTTGTAGTTTTGAGTCGTGTGTGTGTGTGTGTGTGTAAGTGTTCAATAAATCCATTCCAATCCAGACTCTGACTATAGTCACTCCAAATCATGACAGTATGATGAAATAGTGTGTCTGATAGATGTTCGTCTCTTTTGTGTCACTACTGTGTGAGCAACTTTCAGAATTTATTTTTGTGTTTGAGAATGTAGGAGGCAGAAGTGTTTTATAAGATGGTATACATGATAGAGCAATGTGCGTTTCTAATAAGATTATACTAGAGAGAGAATGATTCAGGTGAATTGTTCATTAAATTTGTTTGCAGGAAGGGTGAGAACAGGGCTGTAAAAGACATACTGATTAACAATTGTGAAAAGGCAGACATCATAACTGACAAGAAGCTTAGTGTTAGTATTGTTTATAGGAATTAATCAGCAAGAGAATTGCATGTGTTTATGTACTGAAGCAAACTCTCCGCAGTTATGTAAAACATGCAAAACAACAACTTCATTTAAAAAAATATCAATTTACAGATTTTTACCAGGAACAAAAGAAACAGTTCAGTGTGCACTTTCTTAATCCCCCCGTCCCTAAGAGAATGTTACATTTTTATTTAAACATCTGGTGTACAAGAAAGGCTGCTTTTCACTGACGTGAATATATGAAGCAGAATGTATGGAAGTGGGAACAAACACTCCTCCATTCCCTGAAATCTTGAAAACATTAGTACAGCCACATAAGTGCACACTGTGGTTCCTATTTCAGCTGCAATAGTTTTTGGACTAGTTTCTCACCACAATGGAACAAATATTATTTCTGCCCTGATGCCTTTAAATAGTTTATGTTATTTCTCAGATATGTGGGAGTGGATTTCAAGGAAGTGTTTTTGCATCAGAAAAATGTTATTACATTTCATACCTGTAAAGTAAACAGGGCTCCTTGAAATTGACTGAAATCAACTTATTCAACTGATAACTTATGGATTATAAGTTTATGGTTTTCAGATCTGGCAATGTTGTGGATGCTACAGGAGCTACAGTGAAATTCTATCCAGAAGTGCCGAAAGTGTTGGACAAACTTCAGAGGGATGGTTATGAATTGGGAGTTGCTTCTAGAACAGGAGAAATAGATGGGGCAAATCAATTACTTGAGCTCTTCGAGTGGAACAGATACTTCAAATATAAGGAAATATATCCTGGATGTAAAGTTACACATTTCAATCAGTAAGTGTGTTGATGTGTTATAAATATGGATACTTAAGAAAGGGAGGAGAAAATTCCAGAGCAAGGGTCCATAGACAGTGACATGAGAAGAGAATGTACTTCTCTACGCTGTGAACTTTCATAAGGAGTTTACATAAATTGAGGGAAGATTTGCAAATAAATTCAGACTTGCTGAAAGAAACTGAGTTTTGTTTCACATCATTTATTATTAATAGTAACATTAGTTAATAAATATTACAGTATAGACAGTGCGTTGGGTGCTGCAAGTAGTAAAGGGGAACCTAAAGTTAAGTTATGAACACAGAATAAGTATTGATAAAAAGGGGGAAAATTTGCATAATAATTATGGAGGATGGTTGTATTTTAATCACTTAATATACTTTACATTTATTAGGTAGTCACTTCATTGCATAAGTGTATCTGAGATAGTATAATCCTCAATGGAAACGATGGTCACCACTTTCATCAAGTTAACAGAGATCTGGCAGGATCGTGGTGATGGAAGGATTTCCCTACTAGCATCTGATATTATGCACCACAAGTTTATTCTTGAGGCTACGAACACTAAAAAGAGAATATTTTATTCACTGATTCTTTTAAATCAGTCCCTCTCCCCTTGCAGGTTATGAATAATGTTATGAAATGTTGAACATGGCCTTTTGCCTTTTATATTTGTTCATGAACAGTTTCTAGGTATAGTCAAAACAGAAATAATTTATTACATAATAAGACCCCTAATATTAGGATAGTGAAATGTAATAGTCCATGATGGGTTGGACATGTAACTAGGATGAGGAGACAAGAAATATGTGTGCATCTGTGGTATGACCACTTTGAAGATGAAGGGGGGGGGTTATGAAATAACATAAAGATGTTGTCAAAGAAATATAGTAGGTTATGGGCATGGGAAGTGGATTGATTTGACTCATGATTGTGTCCAGTTTTGGGATTTGGCATTAGGCGGCTTTGTATCTCTGAATTATATCAGAGCCATTGACAGAGAAGTTATTCTCACATAACATATACCAGTTGGAAGTCAAGAAATGAAATCTATCCAGTTTTATAAATAAGTCTTTCATGCACTTAAATCAGACAGAACATGGGTGTTTGAATAGTGAATAATAAGTGGTGATGTATATATGACAATTTCCAGTACTTTTTTATATCTTATATGGGGTGAAATGAATTCCTTGATATTGTGGCCACAAATAGGCTTGTTATACCAGTTAAGGAGTATGGAGTGATAATTGGCAGGAGAAAACTGAAATGCTCAGAGAAAAACCCACTGCAGTGCTGCTTTTTCCACCAGAATGCTGGCAGCTAACTACGTGACCTATGGCATGGATGGCATACAAAATCTTTTTGAAGTAGTGTTGTGACATGCAGTCACATTTTTGAGGCAGTATTAATATGTATATGCAAATGTGCTCAAACAAAAATATTAAGAAAATATGGAAATAATTCTAAAAATATAATCAAGGAAAGCTCTTTGTTCACAGATTTTGACCATATAAATAGGTACTGTAATGAGAGTCATGTAGTGCCCAGAAGGTGTGTACGTGAGATGTACTCTTTGTCTCTTGACACTGTACAGTGGTCACAGAACTATGAATCCTTGCTGTGGTAAGTGCATGCACTCAAAATTAACCATCTTTCTATATTCCCCTCCACTTATTTTTAAGTTATAACTGACAAAGCTGCATATGCTCTAGTGTTCTTTTAGTTCCTATTTACAGTACCTTTTGTTGTTCACTTTTTTATTTAGAATAATATTGTGCTTTCTGTTGAAGCCATTAATGTTAGTGTAACTGTCTATTGAACAAATTCATTCATTCATTTCCTTTATTTTCCATATATCCATACAGGCAAAAATCCTAGGATGTGGAAATAGTCCATTTGATTATAGATGTATACATGTAATAGATTACACAAGTCACACAACTAAAATAACACACACACACACACACACCAGTTAACTAACACAGGCAATATTAAAAAAAACAAAACAAGAGTTTATTACAGTTGTAACTAAACATAATTTAAAAAGTGCATTACTATAAAAATTTAAAATTAATACAATTTTCCCATAAATCAAAATACATTGATACAGGACTCGTCATATACATACATACACATCCTCCACTTTCCATAAACATCCATACAGGGAACAAACCCAGGATGTGGAAATAGTCATGAAACACATACACAAAGTCACACAAGTCACAAGTTGTGGAATTTGAAGTACACCTGTATAGAGGAATTGCTTTTGTAGTACATCATGGTGTTTTTAAAGGGTAAATAATTTTTTACATGCAGGTTGAAGAAACAGAGTGGAATTGCTCTCAAAGACATGTTGTTTTTTGATGATGAACACAGGAACATCCGCGACCTGGAAGCACACGGAGTGATATCAATACTTGTGAAAAGAGGTGTCACAATGGAAGTTGTAGGAGAAGGGCTGAAAATATATGCAAGCAGGAAAAATAAATAATCCTTTTAATTTCTGCTTATTCAGTATTTTGTGGTATGAGTGATAATTAATTTTCATTGTGTCTTTATTCCAAATGTCTAAAATGTGGTAATTACAGGATATATAAAAAGATGCTTGTGTTAGAAAAGAATATTACACATGTCACACAGTACAAACTGAAGATCTGAATTATGAATTTCAGTATGTGCTCTCTTGTTATATTACAGACTCTTTAACCTACTTTAGCACAATATCTGTATGCTGTATGTAAACTCATGACATTAAGTCCCTTAAATGCTTGCCATTCAAAAACTGAATTTGAAAATATTTTATTGCTCTTAGTGATATCTCTCCAGTGACATTGATGCCATGTGTAAAAAGGAGGTAGGAAATGTAAGTTCAAGTCGATAATTGATTAGAAAATATTTAGCCAAAAATTATACGAATTCGAGATAGATCTTGAAGAATTGTAAACTTTCTCCACTTAATCCAATAGGGCTAATGGATACTTTTAATTAAAATGTAATTGAAATATAACCTATACTATATAAGGTAACATTTTTAGACCAAAGTGTATTTAAATATTCACCTGATGTGTGACGAAAGTTATAGAGATCTTCCATATCTGAATAATTATGTTAGCCATGTTTAGAAATTAAAATAAATATTCAGTGATAGTGTCCATTGCATTCAGTGCTATATATCTTCGTGTTCCTGATACTGCTATCACAGTACACATGTAGAAGTATACCAGATATTTGTAAACAGAAAAGTGTTACAGTTTTTCACTATGGCCTATTAGAAATATTGCCAGTGTTGTCCTTGTATGAAGAGTCCCGCAATTTTTAAGATACGACCATACATCATATATCTGACAATACACAATAGTGTTTATTGACTGCATTTCTGGTGTGATGCTTTCATGAATCTACACACACACACACACACACACAACCCCAGACACCTTCTGTTGTGTGAACAGTTTTTGTTTTGAGAACCTTCTTTTTCATTAATTTGCTGTTTTACGTATATGTTAGCTCCTCTTTGAATCAGCTTGAGTGTTTCATTTTTGAAAAACCAAATATTCAAGTTCTATAGTAGCGAACTGTCTTCAGTGGGATTACAATTTGAATTCACTCAGAAAGTGCTGGTCCCTTTACTGCAAAAAATATCCTTTCCCATTCATTAATATTTGGAAATTTACCTGGTACCACTCTGGTCCTCTGTGCAGTTACAATATAAGAGGGGCAGGTGCATCATCACCCATGTTTAGTATTTGAAAGTCTTCAGTAATCTTATCACTTTTGTCCATACAGGTATGAATCTCTGACTACAGTGAACTTTGAGTTTAGTGTTCCTGCATTTAGTGAAATCCAGTTTTTTGTGATCCTAAACAAAGCTCAACACAAACACTGCATTATTTTATTAACTTACCTATACATTATGTTAGACACAGTGTCAGTAGCTTTAGCAGTTTTAATCGCAAACATAATTTTGTTGGGTTTTATTTTTAATATAAAATGAAAATACATTCGAAGCATTTTGTCATTCTTTGCTTCCAAGTGCCTGAACTATACAAAACCAGCATTAGACAGCCCATAGTTAACACATTTTGTACTGCTGTGGTGATACAAAATATGCATGTGCATATTTTCTCTATAAGCTGAATTGGTCAAAATGTTCAGAGATAGCCCTGTGGACAAAGAATATGCAAAATGGCACAAAAAAACACAAAGTCAGTAAGTTTGAATACTTTAGCATTGGTATCTTAGCAGTAAATTTTCAACTGAAAACTACAAAACAGTGCAAAAATGTTGGAGTTCCTATTAAATATTTTATGTATCATATAGGTTATATATAAAAGAGAAATTAATACAGTATTGAAGCAGGAGTGTATACTTAATGTAAAACATTATATTTTTCAGTTCCAGTTGTAGTGAATTATAGCATTGTTTAAAGATGAGCACTGTTGTATAAACAATTGAACTATTCATGTAAGTCAATAAAATGTAATATGGCATTTGTGCTCTATTCCTTGAAATATATTTTGCATCTCTGGTTTATTGCAGGTCATCAGTATATTTCCTTGGTTTGACATATTCCCTCTGAACACGCTTTGCTGCCGGGTTTAAAGCTGTGGAAAAGTGGATCACAGGAAATAAGGCAGACTCTACAGAAGTTTATATAAAAATATTATTTTATAGTATGACATAATTTTATCACAAAAGTTTGCATAAAATATTTCATAACAACAACAAAGAAGAAAGAGAAGAAATGCCTTGTATAAAAAGTGGTTGCAGGCACAGCAAAACAAAAGCTGGAAAATATAACATGCCCTGTTCATAGAAAAATAACTAACTTGTAACAGAAAAATTAAATTAACTCACTATCTTCAGCCATTTCTTGCCAGTGCTGCAGAAGTTGCAGTTTGTTTCCTCCGGTGTAAATCACTGAAACGTCTGATTAGCTAGCCCACTATATGTGTCCTTGTTGCTATCTTCAAAAACCTTTCTGGATCTCTTACAAACCAATGTTTTTACACTACTAGCACTCACAATTGTTAGTACATTTCGGTGTCCAGAGTCTGGAGCACTTAAAACACTGGAGTGAAGTACATTTGATGTTTTTGTAATAGTTGGAACACAGTTGGTACCTTCCATTACAACCTTTTCAGTTACTAGATTGTTTCTTTTTTCAGTTCTTCCATATGAAATAATATGTTGAGAGGGAGTAATGGGGCTGTTAATTACAGGTACTGCTTGAGATTTTTGTTTTGCCTCAGGAATTTGTTGAAACAGGGACCCACTAGAAAAAATGCTTGTGGCACGAACTGGGTCAAGCATTTCCTTAAAGCTTGTAATATTTGTATCACGATTGGGCATTTCTTTAAAACTTGAGATACTCATATCATGAACTGGATCAAGCATGTCTCTAAAGCTAGTAATATTTGTTGTATGAACTGGTTCCAACAGTTTTGTGACGCTCATATCTTGAACTGGATCCAGGGTTTCTTTGAAGTTTGTAAAACTTGCATCACGAACTGGAGCTAACATTTCCTTAAAACTTGTAATATTCATGTTACTATCAGGCTCCAGTACTTTCTTGAAGCATTTTGTTACTCTTGTCTCTGATGGAGATTCCTGATCAGTTTCCCTTGAGATGGTTAAGTCCGCTGTCTTAGAAAAATCTGATGATGCAGAACCGCATGCAAGTTTATGATCCATCTGCGGAGTCTCAGAATTAAGTGGACGAGATATTGACTTAATGCAACTAGATCCTTGGATCTGAGAGCTCTGTATGTTTGCTGTATGCTGAGTATCAGTTCCACTATACAGAACAGGTGTCATGCTAAGTGTTTGCATTTGTGCTTCCTGTTGTGTTATTTGTTTATATATATTATTTGAGATTTTTTCCACGGTGTCTGTGGGACATGGATTTTTACTGACAGTATCATTTGGTGTCATCATCTGATTATGCTGACAGAGTGATGTTTTTGCTAATTGTTCACTGTAGTTCTTGTTGAGAAGAGCAAATGAAGTTAAGCGTGTCTCAGGATGAGTGTTCTTCATGTGCCGCTCCAAGTTATCCTTACGCCTGAATGCTGTATCACATATTGAACACCTGAAGGGACGTGTATCTGGAAAAACAATAAAAGAATCATCCTTTCTATATACATATCTTATATACAGAACACTGAATTGACTGAATCATACCACTGATTTCCTTGTTGTATAACATGTCAACAAATACAGATCAGTCATTAGATAAACACTACAGATTGTTAATCACAATTAAAGTATACATGCAAAATTGTGATTGCAGAACCCCAATGGAAAACTGAGCACCAGATATATTACAATGGGACTCAGAATAATACATTGTAAAATAAACTGAACAGAGTTGGTTCAGTTTGTGGTTGCATGAACAATTAAGTCCAGTAACAACATGGAATTTCTTGAGCAGATGAATAACAACTGGCTGCACTATACTGTGCGATTAGATTATTTTGTAAGTTCATCTACAGGGATTTTACAGCAAAATGAGTGGCAGGATCATTATTAATGGTGATATAAGAAGTACAGTATGTGGAAGTAGCTATAACACATTTTAAGGCACAAAGAAATATTAATCTGGAAAGACTCAATTCCATTTCTTTTTCAGAAGAGCCAGTCCTTCGCTGGAATATGAACCAGATATTTTTCAGAAGCGATTCCACTGAACTAACCCACTTGGTTAGAAAACTGACTTTGCTTTCAGAAATTTGAATGGATGATGTGCATGTTTATCATTAATTTACTTCCCAAGAATACATTATTTTTAATGCAATAAATGCAAAGAATATCAATATAGGACTAAGTAAATTAAACAGATGCTTTCAGCTAAGAGTTCCTAGTGAGATTAGTTACAGATTCAAAATGATGACACTTACCTGAGTGTACAGAAAAGTGACGCCTGAGATCTTTGTTATTAGTGAAAGCTCGTGCGCAGATGTGACAGTTATGTGGACGTTCTCGTGAATGAGTTCGCTGGTGATGTATGAGAGCCCACTTGTGTCCAAAACTCTTCCCACATCCTTCACACATAAAGTTCTTCTCACCTGTGTTTGTAAAAGTGAAAAAAAATATATCTATATATATGTACTACTACTACTACTACTACTACTACTACTACTACTACTACTACGACCACCACCACAAAACCTAGGTCTCGATTTGGATACTGGACTTGAACCCCTCAACAATACATGATGGGTGGTTGGTCCATTTGGTTACAGTGTGTAGCAGGCCCACATATTCCTTTCAGTGACAAATGTCATTTTTCTTACAGCTGACCAGATGCATAATCTGAAAGTTTTATTTAATTTAGTCTCTTATACTTCTTGACAGGCATTCTCTTCAGAACTAGAAGTTTGCTAGACCCAAGTCTGACAGGTAACTATGAAATACAGCAAGCACTGAGCTTCGATAGGGATTCAAAGAAGATGTGTACTTAGGCCACAGCAACTTGAATCATGACTTCAGACTGTAATGTCAAAATTGTAGTCCCTTGATTCACGTTGATTGTTCCAAATACACATGTGTACTGGTTAGCCAGTTGAGGCCTAGCATATGGAAGGTGAATCAGTTTGATTGTAGAAGTTTGGAATTTGGTGAGAAGAGGGAGGAGGTTTTGAAATTAAATTTGTGTATGTAGAGATACAAGAAGTCAGCCAGAACTGGTATTTTGGACCATCAACTTAGCTATCTGATCATCTTTATTTATAAATTATTTTTACCAGAGTTCAAGAAATCAGTCGGGTTTAGAATTCTGGACCAGTGCCATGCACCTTGTTTTAATCATCCCATCAATTTTAGATGAAGAAGACTGCAAGTTATGAAGTTCACTGTATGTAGATTGCTGCATTATTCCTATTACTTCCTCTCTGTTGGTGCAAATTAAAAGTATATCTTTTTACAGTGGTCACAATTAAGAAAGTTCATATTTCCATGAATTTCTTTCAAGATTTTCATGTATGGAATAAACCAGTGATTCACAAACTGAATTCTGTGACCTACCATATCCTTCAGTTTCTAATAATTTCTCTTACACCTGTGAGGCCTTTATACTCTTTCACCTAGTTCCTACATTCTTCAAATCAGGACATCCAAATTAAATTGCTTTTCTAAGTAAAATGGAGTATAATCCTAGGAATAAATTACCTGTGTGTACAAGGATGTGTTTGCGAAGATTCACAGTTTCTGTAAACCCACGTCCGCAATGAGGACAGAGGTATGGCTTCTCACCAGTATGGGTGCGCTGATGTGTCTTCAGACTGTGTGATGCTATAAAACCTTTCCCACAATCTTGACATACATATGGTCGTTCACCTACAGGGATGAAAAATGAGATGTTAAAATATGTTTCAGTAACAATATATTGAAGAAAGCAGTCTTCTGGGATTTGGCACCGTGTATANACAGATTGGTTGTCTCTTACACATCCTCTGCCAACTGAGCTGTGGATATCTCTCACTTGTTCATGTTGCATTTTCTATTTCATCTCAAAGCAAATCTTCAGAGTATTTTTCCCACAAACATTTCTAGCGTACTTTCCTTCTTTATAGAAAATACATAGACTTACAAGATCACTAGGTTGTATGGCATGTATGCACACAAGCACACACCTGCGCAGTCCCCCTCACAACTTTCAAAACAGTTAACATTTCGTGAAATCTAGTATGAAAGTTATGCCACTGGAAGCATCTCCAACCTCATACTTTTCAGTTTCCTAAAACTTATAACCCGGCAGACATACAAACTTGTGAGGTAAGAGTGACGCTAGTGCTACTTAATCCAAGGTCCTGAAATGATGTGTCACCATCATCATAATTGGCAAAACTGCTTTTTGAGCCATAAACTCCCTTAGAACATTCTGCAAGATTTGTCTTAAATTAGACTATCTGGTCTTCACTTTGGATTTTGCAACAGTAATTTTTTTAAAAATTAAGGTCATCAGCCTTGTGTCTAACCCCCAACCTGGAGGACCAGGTCTCTATTTTTATGTCCCTCAAATACTGGATTTCCTTTTTGTCACCTTCTACTACTTGCAGGGATATGGTAGAGGGATTCTAACCCGCCTTCACATGGGGTGATGTGTCATAATAGTTCTTAAAATTATATGCAACTTTTGGTGTATGTTCTCTAGTCCTATTGCAGGAATTTGGGGAGGAAGGATGACTACAAGTAGTGGATTTGCAGAAACAGGAAGGCCTATTTCAGAAACACCTTATTTTTTTGCAATTTCTGTACCTATCTTTTAAAGAACTACTGTTAAATTTCAAGTACCACATACAACCATGTACATATAATTAATTATATTGTTACCTGTGTGAATTCTTATATGCCTGGTGAGTTTGTCTTTCTGCCTGAAACCCCTGTTGCATGTTTCACAAACAAATGGTCGGGCACCTGGAAGAATAAACAAGGTATTAAGAACTTCCATGCTGAATTGGTATAACTAAAGATTATTTCAAAAAGCAACTAATTCACATACATGTGTGACTTCGTGTTTGCAGCCAACTTCAGTTTGTATTTTTAAATGCTAGTTGGAAAACTTGAAGCAAAGAAATGACTTATGGAAACCTATGTGCAGATGAAAGGATTTTAAAATATATACTAAAGAACTAGGATGTAAGGGATTGAGCTCATTCAGAACAGGGTCCAGTGATGGGGGGACTTGTGAAAATGGTAATGAGTCTTTGGGTTTGATAAAAGATGGCTTTTCTTGACCAGATGAGTGAATATCAGGTTCTGAAGAACAGTCTACTTCCATGGAGTTGGGCAGAAATAAATAAAGAGCAGCAATCCATTAAACTTCACTGAAGCAGATTTTACCTGTATGTGTTGAAGTCACACTTCATAATTAGCCAGCTACATGCTGTTTTTACTCACAAGGGATCATAATTTCATATCAAATATGGGATCATATCATGTCTTTCCGACAAAATAAAAACTGCTGAACTGACAAACCTGTATGGTTGAGATGATGACACTCAAAGTGTGACTTGGATGCAAAGCTCTGGCCACAGAGATCACACTTGAAAGGCTTATCCCCAGTAGCACAGAAGTTGTGGTAACGAACATGTTCTCGCCGCTTGAAAGTCTTGATACATACTGTACACGTATACATTGTAGGATTACCTGCAAGAAAGGTACCTGTAAGCAATGAACTAGGACCTGGATACAGCAGTCACACAGAAAAATATTGGACTAAAACTAACAATCGCAACCGTTGACCATATACAAATCTGCTAAATATACATAACTGATGCAGTCTTTATTTCTGTAAACCCAATAACTATGAGGCATAACAAATAACCAGACAGACATACTTGTGCAGAAACTGGCAAATATTATAAGCTGGCATGCTGTATCGTGTGACTATATGATTTAGCAATTTTGAGTCAGTCATTAGAATTTGGTTTTTTGTCATTGCTGTATGCATTTTATTGGCACAATGTTTTGTTTGCCAAAAAAATTAAGAGGAAATACTTGTAAAACTCAGATCTTTAAATAAGATTGTTTGGTAAGAACCGTGATGTGTTGAGGTCTGGGTCTTCCAGTAATATCCAGAAAAAAAAAAGTCTCCAACTGAAAAATACTGTATTTGGTCAGACAAACAGACTTTGTATCATTACAGTGTTCCTTCTCACACAGATTTTACTAAAGAGATCTTTTACATCCCCACAAAGAAGAAAACAAATTTCTGTCTTGAAACATACTCAGTACCCACCTAATGTGTCTTCATATGACTTTTCCACATTCCTGAAACTACAAACACTTTGAACAGATCTCATCTTGAATGACATAACAACAATGCTGGAATGGCTATCAGGAAATTATTTCCAGTAGTGTTTTCAGGCATGACAGATGTTGGCATGTGACTGTAAATTCCAAAGGTGTCACACTCACATGTGACAATATTTATTTTACAGAATCAGCATGATTATTTGTCAGACTACATATATTTGAGGCGATGTCATGGTATGCTCTAACTATAGGAGGAATTAGTCTGTTGTGCATAGCATATAAAATATTTTCCAACATTCTATTTAACAGACTCTCTCCCTTTGTGGAAGGCATAATTGGGGATTACCAATGTGGGTTTCGTCAAGGAAGATCAACTAACAATCATATTTTCACTATTCGCTAGGTCCTTGAAAAGTGTAATGAATTCCAAATTGAAACACCTCATCTTTTCATTGACTTCCGATCAGCCTATGACTCCATAGATAGAGATAGTCTTTTTCTGGCAATGGAAGAGATGCACATTCCATGGAAGTTAATTGCCTTAGTCAGAGCCACTATGAGAAAGACCCAATGCCAAATTAAGATTCAGAATATGTTGTCCAGCCCTACAATAACTAGAAATTGAGTTCGATAATGGGATTCCCTAGCCTGCCTTTTGTTCAATATAGCATTAGAGAAGGTAGTTAGAGATGCAGACATCAACACAAGGGGAACTATATTCTATAAGTCAGTTCAAATTTTGGCATTTGCAGGTGATATTGATATAATTGGTAGAACACAAAAATCTATGAAAGAAGCTTTTCTTAATTTGGAAAGAGCAGCAAAAAAAGATGACTCTACAAATTAACCAAAATAAAACGAAGTACATGCCACTAACCAAGAAAGACTGTGCTAATGGCCTGCATATATTGATATTGGCTCATATAAATTTGAGGTTGTATGCAGTTTCACTTACCTTGGATCAGAAGTTAACTGTAAAACTGATATCAGTGATGAAATAAAAAAGTGTGTACTTGTGGCAAATAAATGTCTCCATGGCCTTAGGAAACTCCTGAGATCCCAATTAATACCCAGGAAAACCAAAACTATGATGTATAAAGTACTTATAAGGTTAGTGTTATCTTATGCCTCTGAGACCTGGGCACTGTCAAGATCGGATTAGAGACTGTTAAGTATATCTGAAAGGAGGATCTTGAGATATATCTTTGGACCTGTGGAAGAAAATGGAATATGGAGGAAGAGGTATAACCATGAGCTATACAAACTATTTAATGAACCAGACATTATTAGATTTATAAAGGTGAAAAGGCTTGAATGGGCTGGACACATAATACATGCCAGCGAGAATAGAATGATTAAGAAAATATTTAATACTAAACTAGAAGGAAATAGGAGAGTGGGAAGACCAAGATTAAGATGGGAAGAATGTGTGTGGCAGGACATAAGAATTTTGGGTGTAAAGAACTGGAGGAATGTAGCATCGAATGAAGAAGAATGGCGAGCAATCCTGAGGAAGGCCAGGGCTCACAAAGGCCTGTCGTGCCAGTGATGATGATGATGATGATGACATATATTTGAACCTGTCTCATAATAAGAATATACAGCAATTCCTTGCAAACCATGAGGATTATGTTCCTGAAAATCATCAGAATGAGCAAGTCCACAATTGGCAAGAACAAGCCCTAGACAAAACTGGAGGTCAGGGGAACTGCAGCTGCTGTCAACACTCATCAAAGCTTAACTAAGTTGCTTGTTCCACCACTAAACACAAGAAGCATGTAGCATCATCATCAATGTGCTGGGATTAAGTTTCTTGATGTGTGTCAGACTTCAGTTTCATCTCTGCCTTCGTCACCTATATTATTTCTTCCTCCTGGTCTATAATTTAATATCTGTTCCATTCAATCTGAATGTTTTATCCAGTTTTTCTGTCATATTTCTTACTTCAGTATTTAGTCTCATCTTCCTTTCACTAACAGAAGAAATTTTTATTTCACCATCCCTTATTATGATCCATATTTCTCAGCCTTCTAGTAATACTGGCACTGCGAGGATGCCATAATTATTTTTTCTTTACTGGTTTCTTACTTAAAACTCATGCTCCACAGATCATTTGACGGTATGTGTGTTAGTGAGTTTATAGGTGCTTCAGCATGAAAGGCTACTTACACCTGAAAGCTCATGATTTTTGCTGTTTTATTATCTTTATCTTCTTCAAGAGGAATACTGTATATGAAGGTTGGACATACTGGATTCAAATGGAAACTAGAGATACTTGAAACCTGCATTTCATAATGCTGAATTTGGCAAGGAATTGCTGTATGATTTTGTGGGCTCAGTGCAATTCAGTCTTAAGGTTCTAGCTTTAAATGAAGGACATTGATTCTTACTACCTGGAATCTTAGAGACTNTTACAGTATCTGAATCAAATCACAGATCACAGTCTCTTTCTTTAATATCTCTTTAAATACAGCATTATTCTCTTATTTATTTCTAGTCTTCTGAGAGGAAGACAATGAAATAACGGCACAGTTGCAAGAAGGTTTTGATTACAAAAACTGTATTTAATTAAATTCATGCATTTCATTTTAACTCTGCCACAGAAGTTCAAAGCTGGGCCTTCTGGAGGTATGGGAAAGAATGGAAAATAAACTGACTAATCAAGGCTCCCTATGTGTCTAAGACTTGGAAATATGTGAAAGCGTCCGGTTTCACACTTTTACTGCTTCAGTCCTGAAAAGAGACAGTCTGATACCACTGGACATGAAGCTGTATAGGTTCCACAGCCAGTCTGGATGTCACAGCACAGAGAAATATCCTTATTCCTATGGGAATCAAACTTTTGCCATCCAGCTTATATGTCACTTTACTGATTCAGCTGTACCAGTTCATAATTAATAGATTAATTGATGATGTGATAATGATGATATGGCTGTTATCATCATTATCACCACAGTCATCATTACCACTATCATTACAATTTTTTTTAGTGGGGAAGGAAAATAAAGTGCCTTCCTCAAAAACTCCTATCTGGTGACTCAAGTAAGTGGTTTGTGATGCTCTATATATCTGTTAGCATCAAGACGCACCTTCAAATTGAGACCAGTTGTAGGTTTTAATAATGTTGTTCATATGCATTATGATTTTACCTTGTGTTACAGTGATATGACTGGCAATAACCATTGGTTTCCTCTTCCCTTCTAATTTTACCTCTGTCATTTCTGTTTCTTCACATTCTACATTGTTATCAGGCAAATTCACATCTACTTCAAGGCCACATTTCTCCTTAACCACCTCTTCACAACTAATGAAGTTACTGTCACTTTGCCTATTATGATCTTCATCATCAGTTAAAATGTCTGTTTTTGGACTCTTCTCTTCATCACTGTCCCTTCTATGTAGCAGAGAAACAGATCTCTCACTCTCATGAGTTAAAGAATCCTTCATATGTTTCTTCTTGTGTTTGTGTGATTTAAAATCAACATTGTCATTTTCTGTAGTCAAAAAAGTGAATAGATGTTTACTGTTTTCAGAGGCTGATGATAGCATCTTTCTACGACTACGTCTTCGAATCTTAGCTGGAGGAACTGGCAACTTCTTTCCACCTGGTTCTTTTTTGATCACTGATGAAAGAAAGTACAGCATAAATGTTAAATCCAAGACAAGGAATACACAACATACTGAAAGAATTGTAGATAATTTTTATGGTTAATGTTTGTTAGTATAAATTCAATTAATAAATGAAGCCACAGCTTTGGATAAACAGGAACTTTGTTTTGACCACTGATGAGGTTACAGTTACATTTCTGTTACCTTTTGCATTACAGACAAATCACAGACTTCTAAGTAAAGAACATTTAATAATTAGTATAATTAGAGACCTCCTGCAACAGGAAGCAGCCTGTCTCTTCAGTATTCGGACAACATCATGCTCTGATTACCCAAGACGAAAATTTAATTTCAATTGTTGTAGTCTTCACCAACTAATCCAGACAAACAAGGAGATAATAAGTTAATCCTGCTCTGCTGGTTTGATTTTACCAAAATTAAAACTAAGTGAGTTAAATAAGTGGTCATGGCTGCGCCATAGCTCAAGCGGTTAGTCACTGGCTTCCCACCACGGCGGCCTACCTTTGATCCCGGGTCTGATCAAGTGGAATTTGTGGTGGACAAAGTGGCACTGAGGCGGATTTTCTCCGAGTGCTTCGGTTTCCCCTGCCAATCTTCATTCCACCAAATTCTCCATCATCATAATCACCCAGGGCATGTACAATAGGCCAATCAGTGGTCGCTGTGCTGAGTGGACCTAGTTGGACTCTGCCCCCACTGAGAGAATAAATAAGTGGTCACAGTACTGGCTGTATTTTGGAACACTGGCTATCCTGACTGAGGCTTTTAAGAATCTTCTTGGCTAATACAGGCAAATTTCAGGAAAGAATCTCAAATTAGGCCATGACTACTTCCTTACACATCTTTACCAAATCATTATTCACTTACTTACTTACTTACTCATGGAGCTGAGCCCTTCTTGAGGAGCTGCCAATTCTGCAGCTACTCATGAATTTCCCAGGATTTTATGGAACCTGAAGGTTCATCACCTTGTTCACAAGAGCCCTCCACTGGTCCCTATCCTGAGCCAGATCTATCCAATCCATACCATCCCATCCTATCTCTCTAAGATCCATTCCAATATTGTCCACCCACTTATGCCTTGGTTTTCCCTGTGGTCTCTTTCCTTCTGGCTTTCCCACCAGTATCCTATACGCATTCTTCGTCTCCCCCATTCGTGCTACATGACCTGCCCACCTCATCCTCCTTGACTTGATCATTCTAATTATACTTGGAGA